CTGTTTGGTTCAAATACAGTGATTTCTACTATATCCGAGCGTAAACCCTGCCTGCATGGCATGCTAGCGTGCCCACATGTCAGTAGCTTGGAGTAAAATTTTGCAGATAACTCCCTAGATTTCTAATTATGCAAAAAAGCTTAAGTGAGACCCACTTGTCACTAAACATTAGAAGAGGAAAATGATAAATATCATGTGGTTGTGCCGGGATATTCAAATGAACGCCCTTCAGAAGGCACAGACACACACACACCAGGTGTGCCAACGCGCCCATCGGCATTTGTTTAATCAGAAGGATATATAATTTCTATAAGCCTTCAGTTAGAACACCTGGGCTTCCTAGCACAAATGGGCTATGATCAGTGAAGCCCATTTTGTATGCTTCATTTTTTTCTAGAAATTTGTATGTAAACTATGATTGTCCCTAAAAAATGTAAATTATCATCTCAGTAATGAGAATATATTTATGGATTACAAAAATGTTTGTATAATTTAAAGTAATCAAATATTTGCAAAACCACAATTCAAAAATATTATACAAAAATTGTGCCGCTCATAGATGAGTGAATTTTTTAACATTAAAATAAGGGAGCCGCTAGGTCTCGGACCCACGAGGCCATGACCAATGACACCCTTCACGCTCTATTGTCTATATATATACATAAGATGATTGGTAAATCAAAAAGTTTCATATAAGCCAAAAATATTTTGTAAAACGTAAGTAATAAAATTTTGTTCAAATATTTGTATGTTAAAAATATAATACATACAAACAATGATTAGTGAATAAAATATTTAAATACAAACATGTGTAATTACATGGAAATTATGAATATGTAATTACATGGAAATTGTACTATACGAGTGTGCATATAATTATCGAAATGTTTTTATAATCAAAATAATATTTTGCAATTGTAATTTTACAAATATTTTATTATTTTAAATTATACATACATTTTGTAATTCATATATATTGTTTTAAATATATAAATATTTTGAAAATAGCACATGAACAATTTTGAAAGTAATTTATTTCATGTGTATTAACACTATTTATAACACAAATACTGAAACATTATTTTTCTGACCGAGATCATAATTTACATACTATGTTCAAATTTCTAAAAAAATCAAAGGCACAAAATGGGATGCACTGATTTTAGGCCATTTGAGCTGATAAGCCCACGTGTTGTGGAGATAAGGCGTAGTTATCCTAATGAATCTCTTGTAAAAACAGTTATCCTTGTGGAACATTCACTAGTAGAAAACAGGGTTTTGGTCCTGGCCAGATCACCCGATCGAGTTACGAACCGGGACTAATGGGTGCATATGTCCCGGTTCGAGCGGCCAGGGAGCCGGCCGGGCCTCGGTAGGCACTAGTCCCGATTCGTCTGACCCATTTAGTCTCGGTTCTATACACGAACCAGGACCAAAGGTCCTCGCTCCTGGCGCAACCCCTTTAGTCCCCGTTGGTGGGTGGAACCGGAACTAAACGTCTGTCTTCTGTCCCGATTCTAGCCACCAACCGGGACTAAAGAGATGCCTATATATATATGCTCGCCCCTGCCCGCTCACTCCTCTGTTTTTTGGCCGGCCGGCGTGTGGGAGGTGTGTGCTGCTTTGCTCTCACCTCCTATGCACATGAGGTGTTCGATGAAATGCCCGAGCCACACTTAATCTTTCTCCTCTCCAAGCTTGACCTCCAAGCTTCATTTTCCCCATGATTTGTATAGGTTTGGCGGTCCGTCCCGTCCCATCCCCGTCCTCACCGTCGTTGATCGCCCGCGCCGATCTAGTCGCTTGCACCACCGTGGTCAGCCTCTTGTTCTTATATTCTTTGTAAAAGAAAACATTCTTACTTGTATGATTTAGATAGCTACTTGTGTAATTTTCTTACTTTTATTATTGTTTTTATTATATAGTGCCATGGTTTTGGTATCCTCCCCCGTCGGCTCTTGTCCGGTCTATGATTAGGTTGTGGTATATTATCTTTTACAACTATTTGTTTCATTTAGTGTTTATGACAATTATGCCGACCAACGTGACATAGATGTTTTTTATCTAGGAGGGATGTGAACCAGAAATTCCAACAGACCCTCTTGTCGAGAGTTTGAATTTTGTTGAAAAAGAAAACAATTATTTGAAAGAAAAATTGAAAAGAATTGAAGAGGAGAAGATGAAATTGGAGTTGCATGTTGCCGATGTCGTCGATGATCACAAGATCCAGATGGATGCAATGCGCTTGAAGATTAGAAAGATTAGAAAATATGCCATTGATAATGAGGCTTGGTATCATTATACTGTCGGATCAATTGTTACCTTAGTTGTGATTTTGATCACATTTGTTGTTACATTTAAACGTTTTACATAGTTGTATGTTAGTTTCAATGTATGTTTTAATTAGATGCTCTAGAGAGCTGTATATTGTTCTATGAGAACTATGTATGAACTTTATGTATTTAATTTTTCAGTAATAACATTTGATCACTACTGTACTTTGGTTTTAATGTGATGATGAACTTGTATTAATTTGATCACTACTCTATTCATGATGTTTTATAATGGTTTTTGATATACTTAATTATATAATGCACGCAGATGAACCGGCAATGGATGTACGGTGATCAACGCACCTCCGACTACATTGACGACCTGCATAATTTTCTCGAGGTGTCTGAGGCAAACAAGAGGAATGGTTTTATGTATTGTCCATGTACTGTTTGTCGGAATACGAAGGATTACTCTTCCACGGAAACCCTTCACTTGCACCTGCTTGAGAAGGGTTTCATGCCACACTATAATGTTTGGAACCAAGCACGAAGAAAGAGGGGTTATGATGGAAGACAATGAAGAAGAAGAGGATGATGACAACTATCCTATGTTCCCTAAATACGATGATACTGCAACGGGGGATGCTGAAGATCAAGAGGTACCAAATGTGCCCGATGATGATCTTCGTCGGGTCATTGTTGATGCACAGAGAGAATGCAAAAGTGAAAGGGAGAAGTTGAAGTTATATCGCATGTTAGAGGATCACACAAAAGGGTTGTGCGCAAATTGCGAAGATGACAACACAAAACTCGATACCACACTGGAATTGCTGCAATTGAAGACAGACAATGGTGTATCTGATAAGGGATTTGGCTCGCTACTGAAAATAATGAAGAAGAAACTTCCAAAGGATAACGAATTGTCCGACAGTACGTACGAAGCAAAGAAGGTTCTATGCCCTCTAGGATTGGAGGTGCAGAAGATACATGCATGCCCTCTAATATTATGTGTCATTGGATGGGTTGGTAGACCAGGGGCGCACCTTCTGAAGGTGGTGAGTTCAAGTCAGGGCAAAACTAAACGATATTTATCACTTTTTTACTGACAGATGGGACTGACCTTGGCTTTTCTGCATAATTGGGAAAATTCGGGTAGTTATCTAAGAAACATTTACTCCAAGCCACTAACAGCCACTGCCACGTTGGCATGTCACAAAGGCAAGATGTACGTCCGGACATGTAGAAAGTACCATATTTGCACAACACAACAAGTTAGATGACCACAAATCCGTATTTTACAAGTTTTAGCACCAAACAGAACATCCAGCGCAAGTTCTATGACTGCCGGTGATATTACCTCTTCCAAGAACCTCCAGTACACATGATCATATGCCTTGGCTAGGTCCATCTTGTACACACAGTATTCACCCTGGCTATCTTTTAGCGTACTCAACGAATGCATAAATTCAAAAGCTATGAAATTAATCTTTCGGGAATGAAGACTGTTTGGGTAGGAGAAATCATACCCTCTAACAATCTTTCAGGAATGAACGCACTTTGGATGTTCTTCTATGTTTAATGGTGTACGTACCATATATACATACCAATACAGTGTCTTTTTTTTTACTGAATGCATCATATAATTGAATTTTAGGAATACTCAAATTACAGAATGAATCTGATCTTACATACACCATACGAGTTACACGGTGAGTATCAAGAAATTGTCACATAGAATAGGACCGGTGCTACAAGTACAGCCCCACTAAGCATCACAATTTGCATTTTACGCAATGCATAATTGTCAGGAATCTGTCATGATTAACTGGTCCACACACATTGTTCATTTCAACTACAAGTTTCTAGGAAATATTTGCCCAAAGTTCCACCCCCGGCACAAGTTTGTTGTACATAAGCTTTTGACCATCAGTGTTTGTTAGTCTAAAGGAAAGCATCATGCAAGTGAAGCTCGCCAATGAGCGCAAGCAGGCGCCCCATTTGCATGCCATTGGCGTCCAGTCGTGGAAATTCGTGGAGCTCTCGACATTCGTGGACATCTTTGAACGTTGAGTGGGCTGGTCTATCAGGTTATTATAGTAGCAACCACCTTATATATAGACCTATCGGTGAGTAATAAGAACTGATAATTACGTTTGAATTGAGGAGGGTTGAGCTAGAATTGCAAAAAGAAAAAAACTTATTGTTACAACGTCTTCTACAAAACTTTCAACTTATAAAATAGGTTGTCTAGAATGGACTTGAACGATAAAATTTTGCATCAACAATTTGCATTATTCAAAACATACTAATAAATAATCCAAGACAAGTGATTATTTTGTTTTTCTCCTCAGCTCTTTTGTTCATTTCTCAACAAAACAACTATATATGTTGTGTAGCAGTACATATTTCTGGTTTATACATGGATATTTTTATGTTCTTCTATGCAAATGGCGTACCACTATGTAGATATCCAGACAATGACATAATCTGTTTACAGAATGCATCATATAATTGAATCTGAAGAATACGAAATCAATAAAATTAATTGGATCTATATACACATTACAAATTACACAAATGAGTATATAAAAATTGAATGGTAACATTACACTAGTGCTATAAGTAACATACACATTAAGCACCATAAAATCCATTTCATCGCAATGCTGTGTAATTATTACAAATCCATCACTTGCCCTGGTAAATTAATTGGTCAGCAGATGTTGCTCAGTAGAATTGCAATTTGCTAACAAATGATTGCCCAAAGTTCCATCCCTTTGGCACAACGTTGTTGAACACAAGTATGTGTCCATCGGTGTTGGTTAGCCTGAAGGAGAGCATCTTGTTGGTGAGGTTCGCCAGCGAGTGCCAGTTAGCGCCCCAATCGCGTGCCATAGGCATCCAGTCGTCCGAATTGGAGCTCTTGACATCCATGGACTTGATTGAGCCTGCTGCAGCAACATTGCTCACAAGAACAAGATTAAAATAATCATGACCATTGATTCTGAACTTCACGCCACCCCGCTTCACGCACGGAACTCTGCATTTGTATGGCAGTGGGCATAGGAGTTAAAGTTATGTGGCTTCGGTGACTTCGAACTAATTTTTGGACTTATAAGAGGCGCATATATACCTCTAGTACATGACAGGGATGATGCCACCTCTATAAACACCAATCTTCTCCCAGGCTGGCTGGGCCATGTCGAAGTGTGGCCGTGACAGGTTGCACCAGCCTCCGTTGTCATTGGGGAGGGCGTCATTGGGCGGGCAGAAGTTTGTGGCAGTGACAGTGACCGTCACGCCAGGCTTGCAAAACAACAGGTCTGCTCGCTTCCGGTCGCATGCGATCTTGTAGCACTGCCCGCACGCAGCGCCGTCATTGAACAGCACGGTGCTCAGAGCCACCGTGCGCATCCCGTACCCTTCAGAGAAGAGGTTGCCGTACCCGCAAGCGCCACCTGCAATACATAGAACACATCGCAAGTGTAAGTGCAGATAAGAACAAGATCAAACGGGCATGCACGCACTAGATTGATGTAGAGGCGTGAGTTGAATGATTAGTTGATTACCCATCGTGTCGGAGGCGTCTGGTGCCGCCGTAGAACGTCGCATGCGCCTTCTGCCAGACGAAGGGTTGCGGCGATGTCGTGGTCGGGTTGTCCGCGACCACAGAGAGCACAAAGCCGATCGCCGCCAGCAGCACCCCTGCAGCAACTCGAGCCGGAGCCATATCTGCCGCTAGCTGTGTCAGCCCTTCAAGTATCTGTGGATGCGTTTGCTGGTGTGTGATTTGTTGCTGACGGTTGTGAGCTGCTGTGGTGATCTGATGATCGTTTGTTTATATAGTCCTCACTATTTGTGCGTACGTCGCTGGAGGATTCTGCAAGGCATGTAGCTAGCGTGCAAAGGTGCCTGGCCATGCAGCCGTGCCATGCTTGCGTTGCAATCAAGAGATATATGTACAGTATATGTACGTACGCGCAGACACGTCCCTTGAATCATACGACGAGTGATCAGGTCCTGCATCTGTCCTCGACGTCGGCGGCGCACATTGGGTGTGAATTGTGATGATTAGGTCGTGAAGAAACCTTGAGTTGTCAGTAAGGCACATCGATAGATACTCTCAATGCGTATCCGTCCATATTTTTGCATGGTCATGAAGTAATGTTCGTCAGTGGACGTTAAACTCGCTAATCCTCAAGTTGCCCAAACGTGTAGGGGGCAACGTTTTTGGTTAGCAATTTATCGGTTTCACCATATTTGTTGTTTCTCACTTCTCACTTTTTTCTCTGATTTCCTCTTTCGAGTTTTGTTTCTATTTCTAGGGAGCAACTAACCAACGGTTATCCTTTGGGATTCCCGTAATGATCATTTTTCTGGCCTTGGAGCATGTGAAGTGGTGCGTCCAGTCGCAGTAACTTATCTTGTGTTGGGCACTCCCTCTGGGTTTCTTTTTACACGTTTACGGATTTTAGATGGGTTTTTTTGGCTTTTAGGTTTTTGCCTAATTATCTGGGTGTTGGAGAAAATTATTTTTCATTTTTTTGCGAAACACAACCGTCCTTCTTAAAAAAAGGGTGCTTCTACGAGAAGTACAATTGTGTTTCTCGTGGAAGCATAGATTTGCTACTGCGATAAGCATAACCTGTGCCTCCGCAAGAAGCACGTATTTGCTTCCACGAGAAGCACGACCAATGCTTCCGTCAAAAGCACAGTTGTGCTTCTGGTAAAGCATAACTATGCTTCTTGAAAGGGAAAAGCACAACCTATGATTGTACGAGAAACATAGTGCTTCTGCGAGGAGCACAACATGTGGTTCCCTGGAAAAAGAGAAAACCACACCATGTCCTTCTAAAAAAAAGTGAAAACCACAACCGTGCTTTCGGGCTCCCTTTTCTTATTTTGGTTTTCTTGGTATATTTTTGGTTGCCAGCTTTTTTTTGGTTCATGTGCTTGGAGTTTTTGGTATTGGTTTTTCCTATTTCCAGTTTTTTTTCTTCTAGTTTCTGGGGTTTTAATGAAAGAAAGTTCATTGAAACCTATTAACATGTGATTTAGTTTCGACCATCTCGGCGTGCAATATGCAATGCTGGAACTATTTTGGTTTAAACGCACGGTTCCAAAGATAAAATGTTTTGAATAAATGAATCAACCCAAAAAAAAGGAAAACTCTCAGGTTGTGACCAGTAGCACATGCAATGCATCCACTTGTCAGCACCTAAAGAGGTGGGGATTGACCTTTGAAAAGGGTAACCCTTAACTAGTGATTTCGTCTTTTCAACGATATTAAAAATGTACCTTTTCAAAGATATTATAAGAGACTGTATAAAAATTTAATGTTATTGGGCCACATTGGGACGACCCATATAGGGGAAGGTGTGTGTGTGTGGAGGTTTGCCCAACTGCACTTATTTGAAGCACAAATGGTCGAGCAAACGCATAGAGCGCTCGCTGCCTGGGCTGGCCCAATTTGGTGCATCCTGGAGCACTTCGTCTTGAGTGATTGTCTTTCCTCAGATTAACATTTTATGGCTTTTTAATTGGTTTTTCATACTTTTTTTATTTCTCTTAAAATTTAATTGCTAAACTAGTTTTATCAATATTGAAAATATTTTTCAAAGATTATATTATTGTCCCACTTTGGAGTGGCACTTATAGGAAGGAGCTGTGAACATTTGTTCACCTATATGTCCGACTATTAAGTGCGTGAACGCTATTTATCGCATTAAGCGATCGCGTGGGAAGGTCTCGCTGAAGCTTTTTTCCCCTTGCGTTATCTTGGGCCGGCCCATTTACATGCATATGTTCGTAAAAAGGAAATGCGAGAAGGGGAATCAATCCCTGGTCTTCAGCTTGGAGATGTGCTGCGCCAGCCACACGCCCGACATACTTTAGTGGTAAGAACAAGGGCTATGACCTACTTGAGGCTATTCGAGCTGTTTTTTTTAGATTCTTTCCTTCTTATTTTATTATGTTTCTTTTCTTTTTTCTTCTCCTTTCTTCTATCATTATTTTTCCTTATTTTTTGCAATTTCTTTGTTCTTCTCCATTTTTGTTTTTCTCTTTCTTCCTCTCAGTTTTTTTGTTTTGGTTTTCTTCTTTCTTCTCCATTTTTTGTTTTTCTTTTGTGTTTTCTTATGTTTGTTTTTGTTTACACTCCACATTTTTGTACATCTCAAAAACATTTTTTGTAACAAGTGATCAACATTTTTTGTATACACGTTCAACATTGTCCGAACGCTATTTCAACATTTTTCAAATACTTTCTCAACATTTTAATAGTTATTTAACATTTCATCAAATACTTGGTCAACATTTTCAGATACTAATTCAACAAGTTTTAAATACATGTTCAGCATTTTTCAAATAAGTATTCAACATTTGTAATACTTATTCAAGATTTTTCAAATTCCTGTTCAACATTTTTCATAAACTCGTTCAACATTTTTTAATACCCGTTCAACATTTTTCGAATATTTGTTCAACATTTTTAATACTCTTCAACATTTTTTCAAATAATTGTTCAATCTTTTTCAAATTATTGTTCAACATTTTCTAATACTTATTCAACATTTTTTTCAAAATGTGTTTTTGAAGAATATTTTTTTGTAGTATGTACATATATATCTGTAGAATATATTAAAGTATAAAGAAAAGTATAAAAATAACAAAAAACAGAACAGAAAACAGAAAGAAAAAAACAGGATGTGGCTCGTGTAACGCGGCAAATAGTCGCGCCCCTATTAAGCGTTGTCCACGCGGGCGAATGAACCACTTTGGAGCAATGCTACATCCTCGGGATGTTACGTACGTTTACGTAGACTAGTACAGTTGTCAAAAGTTGATTGGAGAGAAGGGGGAAGGAGGGGCCCACCCCGGTGAAAATCAGGGGTGGAGATAGAATTAATAGGCAGGTTATACGTAACCCTTCGTAAGGGCTTTCGTAGATGTAGTATTATTGGCCACTTTGGACCCTCCTTTCCACCAGCGCGACACTTTGGACCGGCCCATTTGTGGAGCTGGACGTGCCCTGTTTTTTCCGTTTTGTCTCTTTCTTTTTGATTTTACTCTTATTTCAAATACTTGCGGATTACAAAAAGGTTTTAAATTTTCCAAAATGTGAATTTTGAAAACATGTTAAAGAAATCATAAAATGTTCACGTATAAAAAGTGCTTTTTCCAAAAAATGTTCATATATTCAAAAACAATTATCAGTGTCACAAAAAGTTTGCGAATTAGAAAAATTGTTCACCAATTTTTTTAAAATGTTCGCATTTTCATAAAATATCACAATCTTTTAAAACAATGTTCAGGAAAAGATAAAAAATTCATGTGTTCATAAAATGTTCAGAATTTTAAAAAACTTGTTCAAAAATGTTTACCGACCAAAATTATTTTTCCAAATTTCCAAAAAAAATTGATTCAAACTGTTTTGCCGTAAGCATGTTACGGGTTTCAATAAGATTTTCAAAATTTTAAAAAATCTTGCGAATTTAAAAACAAATGTTCATGATTTAAAAATATATTTACGGATTTAAAACATGTTTATGATATCCAAAACATTTTACTATATAGAAATATTTAAAAATTTGAAAATTGTTCATAAAATATAAAAATGAAAAAGGAAATTGAAATGAATAAGAAAAATAAAAGAATAACGAAAAATAAAAAGAAAATGAAAATAAAAAGGAAAAGAAAAGAAAAATGGGAAATGGGAATGGAGAAAGGAGAAAAAACGGAATGAAAACACAAGAAAAAAAACCCGGTTTGGGACGGTTCTAGAACCTTCCTAAAACGGGAAACGAGCTATGTTGGGTCGGCCAAAACATAGGTAGCGTGGAAGCGTGGGGTGCGCGCACGGTCGCTAAACAGTGACCCACGCGCCAAATAGGATTCCCGCAGGAGCACCTATCTGATGCTCATATGGTCGAGCA